CGCACTGTTGAAGGCGGACATAAGCGGGGACGGCAACGTAAAGCTGGTCAGACAACATCAAAGTGTGGACAGACACGAAAATTCTGGAAATCAGATCCTCATGAGGGAGATTGTTTGTTTCTTCGGGCCTTAGCCCACCGCCCCCGACGATTGAAGCAGTCAGGGCACTCATGATAATGTATAGTAGTAGTTTCGTTAGGATTAGAGATATATGACCCTGGACGTCAATTTACTCTGAAATCCTCAGAAATTAGGGCACTTTCAATATTTTCGTCTGAATAAATTACTTTCTCTTTTATTCAAAATCTGCATTTTTTTAAGCCGAAATTATGTTTAGACCTATTAAAATAAACGACCAAGGCAATGGATGTTTATTATTTCGTAAATGATCGTAATTGCCGATTGCACTTTCCTCGATTTCAGTTCCAACTTTGCATCCGATAGGGTACATAAAATATTTTTTAAAAATAAAAATTTAAATATCCAGGAAGTGTTTTAATGAAAGATGGAAAATGCGACACCGAAATTCGAAGGCGCATTGAAATAGCGAAAGTGCCTTCCAAAAGCTAAGCAAAGTATTAAGTAACACGAAAATTCCGTTAGAAACAAAGAGAAGAGTACCGAACTGTTATGTAATATCGGTCCTCCTATAAGGCAATGAATGTTGGACAATCTTCTCAAGGATGAAGAAGAGACTTGAGGCAACAGAAACAAAGAAAAGACTACTGAACTGTTATGTAATATCGGTCCACCTATAAGGCAATGAATGCTGGACAATTTCGTTCCAGTGAAGAATAGTCATGAAGCAACAGGAATGTAGTTCTACAGAAAGATGCTGAGAATACCATGGACCGAACATGCGAGCAACGACAAAGTTTCAGGAAAACTTTCAGCTCGTCAATCAGATCATCATGAACTGACCCCCTGACTAACACTTGATATAATGCCCTACGAGACAACGCCTGGATATTGGAGAGGCCATCCGACGCCCGTAAGAGGCGTTTTAGAGCAAGACGATATTTACGGTAGAAGGATCATTCGGCTCGGGGTAAATGATGGGCCTCCTCCTTGTATGAGTGCACAGTTCTCAAGGATGGAAAATTTCTACGTCTTCCTTCCAGAAGGCTCCTTCCTCATCCGATTCGCGACACAAACGATCTAGGAATCCGATGAGAAGCATATCAAGATGAATCTCAATGCTAGGCATACCCAGACCGCCCTCAGCGGTATGAAGGCAACAGATCTCCCGATATACCATAGCGGCCTTGTCTCTCCACAAGAAAGAGAACAAGAGCCTTACTAATAATATTATTGGGGAAAATGGAAGTGGAAGTACCGAGAGTCGGTAAAGGAGAATCGGGTAGATATGTGAAACACATACTTCCGCCCTCCCTTTCAAGGAAAGATTCCTCCGAGACCACAAATTAATTGCGATCTCGGCCTTCCCTTTTACCTCCGACCAATTCATTCCCAACTGGATATCTGGACCGAACCAGACGCCGAGTATCTTGACCGGCCGATCCGTCCAGTGTAAAGGTCTGGGAAGAGAAACTCCCTTCAACGCATCCAACCGCAAGCCAACAGACTTATCGCGGTTGATCTTGGCCCCTGTCACCATCTCATAACCATTGATTTCTTTGCTGACTTCGTTAATCTCGGCTCTGATCGGCACAAGAACCGAAACATCGTCATAGGCAGAATTTAGAATGTAACTCCAGGTAGGGAAATTCCGTGTAGGACCGGATTCGCCTTTAACTTGCGAAGAAAAAGTTTCAACGCAAGAACGGAAATCATAGGTGAAAGCGGACAACCCTGACGAAAAGCTCGAGTCAATACGAAAGGTTCCAATCTTACCCCGTTCATTTTCACCAGCGCACCGGAAGTCGCATACGGAAGACGGATCCAGGAGTGAAAGTCCGTCCCAAAACCGGCAGCCGAAAGAACAGTCTCCAGGAATCGATGGTCAACCCTATCAAAGGCCTTGGACTGATACAAATTGATCAGCGCGGATTCACTGTCGACTTTCTCTTTGATCAAGCGGACCATATGAATGTTGTCCTGAATAGTCCTGCACAAGTCTGTTCGGAGCCAATCAGACTAGACAGGACAAGCTGCAACCGGTTGGCTAAGATCTAAAATCTTCAACTCTGTATTTAATATAGCTAAAGGGCGAAATTTACCTATCCCATCCCCTTCGTTTTTGTCCTTACGCAGCAAATTGATCACACTCCTGGAGAAGCGTTGAGGTATAGACCACTGCTTCATCCAGTTGTTGAAAATCAATGTCTTATTGGAATAATTAGGAAATAAAAATTCCGTTTTTATTTCTACCAATGCAACCGGAAGTTATCGCAAGAAAAATATTAATGAAACAAATCTATTTTACAAATATATAATTTGAATTTATTGCATATAATTTTAGTGAAACAAAGTACTAATATTAAACATGATGAAATTAATGTAATGAAAATTATCAATGATAACACTTTTAATCTGCATAATAACCTTTTAAATAATGACAATAGGTATATGAAAGTTACTCTGAAGTCTAAGCTAACAGGAGTTGCCTGGTAACTAATTTCGGCCGACTATGGGGAATTTTAAACCTACATATGGCATATAAGATGCAGGGGATATTTTTATTAAAAAAAGTGCGACTTATATTCCGTCAGATACGGTAATTAGAAAAAAAATCCCTTTTATTAAGTGGATATCTTGATTTGGGTTTTTATGGAGAAGTGGAAAAAATCAGAAATATGTTTTGGGTTAGTGATTAATGGCTACTAATGCTCGTATGTTCTGGATTACCTTAAATTAGACCGCCTCCCAGATTTCCATGCGTGTTTAGTTTACCGTTACGGCAAAATGATTTTTCTTTTGGTTTAAATTTCCCCCGACTTCGCCAGTTAGTATTCCCTATACTTGGCTAATCACGTGATCCTTAACGACCTATCAACAGAGTCCTGTCATGATAGAGACGATAATCTTCGGGTAGACGCCACTAAAAGAAAATTCCGGACACGTAACAAGACACCAGATGTTAAAAGAGTGTAAAGTGTTATGAATAATCAAGAGTGGTCTCCCTTGATTTTGTTACTCTCCTCTTTGAGGGAGCTATTTCTGTTTACTGGGACACTATACGCGAGCCTTGTATTCTCAGTTAAATAAAGCTTTCTTAAAGCCTATACCTGTGTACTTTTGTCATTATATAAAAATATCTTATTCTATTTTTTTTTAACTAATCCTCTCATAAAATGAATGTTTTTTTTTAATCTATTATCCAACTGTAAACGTATTTTCGTTTTGCCTTTAAATTAAACGTTTTTTCTGTTTATTTTTTTGGAATGGTAATAATTAGCATCCATTGCCCGAATAGTCAGTATTATTGTTGGTTGAAATTTATCAAATCTTTTTCTTGAAACAATTTTTAGAGTAATTAAACTTTTCAAGTTCAAATGGGAGTTTCTTTCCTATCCTTTTGTTTCAGGTAGTATGGAAAGCAAGCATCATGATTATATCATTATTTTCCCTTTTAGTTACAAGCTAACCAAAAAAGTCCTTGCCGGTTTCGATTTATTAAAAAAGCAAATTTGAGAAGTCCCCATCGGCATCCATAACCTTTTGTCAACGTGACACCAGCAGCGCAATGTCCTAGCGGTAAAAAACAGGTGTCTTGGACGCAAAGAAGTCTTTGAGTGCCTGTTGCAAATCCGCCTCATTTGTGAATGATTTCCTACGAAGTGACTGGAAGATGTGGTAATCTGTTGAGTTTGAAAAAACGTTGAGTAACTCGAAGAAAAATTCCTTGGTAACGCAGCGGCAATCCCATTGCACGGCCAACGCGGCGTGCAGCCAAACTCATGTATTTACTCTTCTTCCTACAGTAAGTAGATGTGCCACAAGGTCAGTTTCATGTGGGCAAAAAACTGCCCAGCCCCGATAACTGTCGGGTATACTGGCATCGGTATTACTACCGATCACCTTCTTTGGTGCAATGAGTGGTTACTGCCTCTGGCAGCTGTTCTCCTGGGACCGAACATTTTCTCTCTTGCGCTCTGTCCGCAGAACCACACCTGCAAGATGGACAGCAAACTGCTAAACTCACGCGAGATTTACCTTGACCTATACCCCACTGAGTCAGGTTTTGACACAAGGTCAGTTTTTAACGTGGGGATCCGAGTGTTTTTTTACTCGGGCCACCGGTCTAAGCTGGTCATAGCTTGTCTAAGCTAGTCATAGCCGGTTACAAACCCGCTAAGTAACAGATGGACTCAAGGGAGGAGAGAAGGCCCCCGACACCAAACAGATACTACAACCGCAACATCTATCCTTCTCCTCCTCTGCCAATCCTCCCGGAAGAATCCAGAGGAGAGCTCCCGTGATTTTCTAAGTGTAGCTAAGGTCGAAAGTATGGGGCATCCAGTGAAGTTCAAATTCACTATTCAGTCGTAATTGATCTTGCGAGACAAGCTTGCTAACTATTACGTCACGTCGAAGTGTCTAAACTGCCAATCATACCTTTTCCCAGAAAATGTGCTTGTTTTTATGGAGCGTAAAAATTTAGCTGTTGGCTAGCAAAAGGAATTATTTGCATAGCTAACACCACTCAGCTCACCGTCCAAACTATCTCGTGGGGAAGCTGGTAAACACTTTCTTTCTCACATACGTTCCGGAGTACGCACCAGCTTTGTTCTGGCAGCGGACCCAGGTGCTGTCTTTCTGCAGAGAGAGCACACTCAACGTCGTCTCTATGAACGACGGGGTTGAGTACCGTTATCAGAAGCGGTTGACAGCTCCATTTGCATTTCGTTTCCGCTACACATTGTCATATGATTGAACGCAAAACAAATTCAGTCTTGTTTAACTTCTCTCAATTTGTACAAAAAGTCGTTGGGTGAGGAGGATGTCTTTAGCCCCTAGCCTTGCTATAACACCATGGACGCATGAGTCTCAGTTCTGTCAGTATTTTAGGGAAAGCCCCAATCCACATAGCTACCAGATCATTGATCTGCAATGGGGATTTTCAGAAAGTAATGGTTCCCGTGTTGGCGAGTGGGAGTGATAAGAAAAAGAGAAGAAAATAAATTGATGGCTAAGCGGGGTCTGTGTGTGTGTGTGTGTATTTGTGTGTGCGTGAGTGAGAAAAAGAGAGAGAGAGAGATAGAGATACAGAGAGAGAGAGAGAAAGAGAGAGAGAGAGAGAGAGAGAGAGAGAGAGAAACAGGTCTCGAAAGATAAGAAAAGGCAGAGTAAGGGTGATATTTCTTTTAAATGTCCTGACAACCCTTAAACTAAAAGACAAAATGCATGGTCATCAGTAAGAGGAAGAGTCCGAAATACGATTTGCAGGTCGGGAACACTACAATCAACCAGACGCAGGAGTTTAAATATCCGGGAAGCGTCTTGACAGAGGACGGTAAGTGCAACACTGAGATCCGTAGACGTATTGGGATGGCCAAGGACGCATTCCAAAAGTTGGGTAGAGTATTGCCAGACAGGAGGATTTCTTTGGTAACAAAGAAAAGAATACTAAACTGTTACATGACATCTGTCCTTCTTTACGTCAGCGAATCTTGGACGATTTCCTCAAAGATGAAGAGACACGAGGCGACAGAGATGTGGTTCTACAGAAGGATGCTAAGGATATCATGGATCGAGCGTATGAGTAATGACGAGGTCTTAGAGAAGTTGCAAACAAGGAGGAGGCTTATACTTAACACCAGGAAGTGGCAGCTGAAGTTTCTGGGACACATAATGAGGAAAGAGGGCCTGTAGAATCTGATACTTATGTGTCGAATAGAGAGAAAGAGAGACAAGGGAAAACAACGCATGACATAGCTGGCGGGCGTAAGCAAGTGGATGACAGAACGTGGTCTGGGAGAGGAAGCAGAGAGAAGGAATTTGTTGAGAGCTGCAAGGGATAGAGGGAGGTGGAGAGCCATGATTGCCTATATCCTGGCATATAAAAAGAAAGAAAGACGGGAGTCAAGTAGAATAAATTTGAAAAATGATTATTTGACTGGAAGGAGACATTTACTTCGTGTATTTATAAAAACAAACAAACATCGTTTTTAGTAGGTTTAAAGTGGGCGAATTTAATAACCAGATCTACAAGTGACACATCAAAATACTCGGAAAACACATAATGTCTGATTAGATAAAACAGTCTGGTATTGCTGGATTTTGATTGGCTAAAATCTTACGCTGAAGCATTTGAGATTTTATGTTTATATTCAAGCTTTACTTTTCCGACTTAAGACATAGGAAAAATCTAATAGAAAAGTTTTTCCTGACCATTCGTTGTATACTACATACAGACACACACACACATATATATATATATATATATATATATATATATATATATATATATATATATATATATATATATATATCTATTCTGAAGGTCCTGAAATATAAATTAAAGACATTATTTTCATATTATCGAATGGCGTTCCAAATGTCTTCAAGACTAGTTGAGGGACTTGTCATTGACAGCAATACATTTTTAATTGGCAGAAAAATATTGAAAAGAAAAATAAATGAACACAGAAGCACTTTTAAGCATAAATATAGCATACCTTAAAATACCATTAAAAATACCATTAAAATATATATCATACCTTAAAACTATATTTTGGTAACTAATGCTATTAACGGATAAATGGCCACCGTAAAATCCGGTATTAATTTTGAAAATCAAAATCTGGAAAAGAAAGGAAAGAAAAAAAAAGAAGAGAAGGAAGAACGAATAAAAAGGAAGCTAAGATGGGAAAATAGGAAAGACGAAGAAAAAAAATGATGAAGACAGAAATGGAAAAGAAGAGAAAAAAAGGAAAGGAAAATGAACAGAGAGAAAACGAAGAAAAAGAAAAAAAGAAAGATAAAACAAAAGAAAATGGAAAGAGAAAGATCGAGAAAAAAAGCAAAAGGGAGAGGAGAAAAGAAAAAAAGAAAGAGAATGAAGAAAAAGAAAAACGAAGATGAAAGATAATGAGAAAGAAAAGAAAAGAAAGACAACGAAGGAAAAAGGACGAGGAGTGAAAACAAAGAAAAAGACAGAAAGAAGTAAGAGAATGAAGAGTGAAAGAGAGAGATGGAGAAAGAAAGAAAAGGAAGAGGAGAAAGAAGTTAAGAAAGAGAATGAAGAAAAGAAAGATAAAAAAAGAAGAAAGAGAATGAGAAAGAAAAGAAAAGAATAGAAGAGAATAAAGAGAACGAAAGAAAAGGAAGAGGACGAAAACAAATAAAAAAAACAGAAAAAAGTAAGAAAATGAATAGGGAAAGAGAAAAATGAGAAAGAGGGGAAAAAGAAAAAGATAATGAAGGAAAAGTGAAGAAGAGGAAAGGGAAAAAGAAAATGAAGAAAAGAAAGATTAAGAAAAGAAGAAAGAAAGAATAAAGAAAGAATAAAAAAGGACAGTAAAGGCAGGAAGATAAGGAAAAGAGAAAAATAGATGAAGGTAAAAGAAAAAAATAATGGAAAGAATAAAATAAAATAAAAAAGAAACGGAATGAAAAAAAGAAAAAAAAATAGGAAAGAAAATAGCAAAAGAATGAAAGAGAGGTAGAAAAAACTAGAAAGAAAAATTGAGGATAATTTCCCCCCCCCCTTAATTAACAGTGGAATTAATATCAACCGGCTTCGTGTTAAAAAAAAAAATCTAACTGAAGAAATCTACTTTGCGACTGGAATCGAACCTTTAATTTATTCTATCAGAAGAACGTTCTTTTTCTTTGCCGTGTCCTTTCAGCTCTTAGTAAATTTTGTCTGTTCTGCCACCCATTTACACAAGTTCATTAGATAGGTTATTCACTACTTTCCTCGATCTCTCTTGTCGTCAATATGCCCTGTTAGTGCCAATCTTTCTAACCCCTCTTTCCTCATTATATGACCTAGAAATTTCAACACTCCCTTTCTGATGTTAAGTACGTTTCCGTTTTGTTTCTATATTCTCTAAAACTTCGTAATTGTCCAGCTGTTCCGTTCATAGTATTCTCAGCATCCTTCTGTAGAACCACATTTCTGTTGCCACAAGTCTCTTCTTCATCTGTGATTCAATCACTGCTATATAGGAGGGTCAATATGAAAGCAGTTAAATACTCTTTTCTTTGTTTCTCCCGAGAGTTTCCTGTTTCTTAATACTTTGCTTACCTTTCGGAAGGCATCTTTCGTTATCCCAATTTGCCTTCGGACTTCGGTGTTGCATTTTCGTCCTCTTTTAAAACACTTCTTAGATATTTAAACTTTTTAATTATGTTATACCTGACGTACCTATTCTATTATTAATAGACTCTCCCGCACATAATAAGTAGTAGTAGTTGTAGTAGCGATCGACAGTTGGGCTCAGTGGTGTTGAGTGAGTCAGTCGATGTTGGATATTGAAGTATCAACCATCACAACTAGATTGCTGCGTCATTAACTCTTATTGCAAGTTCCTAACGTTTTGTACGTCGGACTCTTTTAGGACCGACTTAGTGAAATACAAGCCTCCACTGTGAAAACTACTCTACAACAGTTTAATTTTGGTATCTCCAATTTGTAATTCGGACGTTGGTCTGTTTCTTTTGCTGACAACCATATATTCGGTCTTCTTACAATTGATAGTTAATCCTTTCTTCTCGTTTTCCTTTACCACCTTCTGTAGGAGTTCCTGTAGTTTCTTTTCTGTTTTTGCAATCAACAGCGTGTCATCTGCATATCTAATTTTGTTAAGATTGTGGCTGCCAATAATGAATCCTGGTAGGATTTCTTAGAATCACTCCTCTGTAAATGTTGAATAAGTCCGGTGAGACGATATATCCTTGTCTTACACCCCTTTCTATTATTGTATATTTATTGAATTCATTCTCTATTCGTATGCAGGCGGTTTGCTCCCAGAAGTAGTTTAGAAAAAAATAGTTATAATTATTTATCTGTTTATATTTCTGATATGAGGTATTATTTGCATTTGACATCGTTCGGACTGTTATCCTGATTTTTATTGCATGGCTGACCATATACGGAGGGAAAAGGGAGATCACCGCTCCCTTTGGGATAAAATTGAAATAATAGAGACAACTTTACTGGAAAATACGAAAACTTAAGGTATCAGCACATATGTTATGTCACAAAATTTTTTTAAGTCGGCCAAGCGTTCACATGAAAATCGGTAATACGGAGAACTGGAGAAAAACAAGAAGAAAAAATTTTAATATGAGGTAAAAAAAAAAATGGTAACCGAGATTAGGTTTAAAACTCCAAAGATTCATTCACTGATGTCCCCAAGTGAATGATCCAAAGAGTTCTGAGTTCAATACCTGAACACAGCAGCGGTAACAAAAACATGGCGAGTTGAATTACTAAAGGCAATTAATTGAAACTGAGATATCCAGAAAAGACATGACACATGGAATTAGAACAATCTCCCCAACCCCTTAGACTAAATAAAAGGTTCGATTCAAAAATTCAAAGTATATCACCTGAAGAAGACCGAAGCGTACAGCAGTCGAAACGTCGTGAATATGGCAATAAAGATGAGGACAACTATTCGAACGATGTTAATAGCGTAAATCGTTATAGTTGTTCGTTAATCTGATTTGAAGTTGTCGGAGTTAGTTCCTCCTCAGTTCCTTAATCCTTCACCAGGGGTCTCTCTCCCCTGGCTATAAATAGTGACTGACCCTTCGCCTCGATCTCTGTTTTCCTCAGGCCTTGGGCCTTATACCACCTTGCATATGTGAGCTCTCACCAATACAGCGTTTCCCAAATTCTGGGAACACGCTAAGAACAATACACGTACGTACGAACATTCGCCACAACACAACACACGCACATACACATAATATTCACCACATGCACTCAATGTAACTGTCCATGTAACTTGTAACCTTTAACTTGTTGTTAATACATATATTTGTTTACATATATTTATCGGTCTTGTTTGTTTTCTTTGTCTTCTTTGGAATTAATAAAAGTCCAACTTCTTCGTGTAGCTGGACTGGCTAGCAGAAAATTTTAACTCACGTGTGTTTTACATACTCATGATGAGTATATAAAACTCATCACCGCTACGGTCCGCTACAAAGTGATAGTTGCCGATTTTTAGTCCCATTTGTCGAATGTCTGTTTTCAATGCGTCACAGGATGTATGTTTTTTTTTCCAGAGGAGGAAGGTGTTGAAGGTGTATTTGAGTCACTTCGTTTCGTTTACTTTCTCATGTCGTAAAAACAGCTGCTCCTGGCGTCCAACTGGTGCGCAGACCATTTACGCCGCAGCCATAGTTCGAATTTATTTATTATAGCCTGTGGAGGAAGGGGCGGATAACAGGAGAGTTAGAAAGTGAGATAAACTGGAAACGGGGGTTAAGAGAAAAGAGACGAGGAGAATGAAAGAAGAGAGATCGTAGGTCTTAGGTCTGTCAGAACAGATCTGGCTCAATCAGACTTCTGGCTTTTGCCAAAGCTAAAGTAAACAAGATTATGGATGGAGAATGTGACGAAGCTAATAATAATGAGAATAACAGGAGAAGGGGGAGGAAGAGAGAGAGAGAGAGAGAGAGAGAGAAGCGGATAAAGAAAAGGAGGATAAATGGAAGAGAGAGAGAGAGAGAGAGAGAGAGAGAGAGAGGATGTGGGTAAGAGAAAAGAAGATGAAAGGAGAAAAGAGAAAGGAAAAAGAGAAATGTGACTAAGCTAATAATGAGAATAGCATGAGAAAAAGAGGGAGAGAGAGAGAGAGAGAGAGAGAAAGAGAAAGAGAGAAGAAGCGGATAAAGAAACTGAGAATAAGTGGAAAAGAGAAAGAGGATGTGCGTAAGAGAAACGAGATGAAAGGAGAAAATAGAAAGGAAAAAGAGAAAGAAGCAGAAAAATATATAGAGAGAAAGAAACGGGTGTTAAGGGAAAAGGGAGAGGAGGAAATAGAAAGAATGAAAGGAAAGAGATCGTAGGTAAATAACGGGAGTAGGGGAATAACGAGATGACAAAATGGAAGTAAAAAGATAAAAACAAAAAGAAATCAGTGTATAAAAAGACATAAGGTTGAATGAAAAAAAAAAAGGAAAAAAATGAGGAAATCGATATCCCCCACAACTATGGCTTAAATAGTATGGTAGACAGGTCTCTCTACGTTGGCATTCAAAACGGAGGATAAGGCAACAAGTGTCTTTCCTAAGAAAACATAGCAACTGACGGATAATAATGAAAATTATTTACATTATACAGACTATTGTCATCATCTTTGTCGCCATATTTATTACAACGTTTCGGCCGTTGTACGCTCTGGCCTTCTTTAGGTGGTTTAAATGTCGAACTGAACCCTTTATTTCGCTCACTGGGGTAGACTGTTCTAGTTCCACGTGCCATGTTTAATGGATGTCATTTATCAGTTATCTCCTGTTAATTTCCCTCTGAAAGAAAGTTCTCCACTGCCTTAACCGGGTACTGGATCTAACCAACGCCTTTGTCCACTGTGCCACGTGTCCTTGAGGACGTATGTGTATGAATTTCTGGGTATTATAAACCTAATGACTTCATCAACCATTTTTATCTGTGCTCATATTGCAATTTTTTGCTGTTATCATTCATATTTTTACCAGAGCTCATATTTCAACTTTTGTTGTTATTATCACTTTTCTCTGGCACTCCTTATTACTGGTTCTCATATATTCATTTCTATGCTTGGTCGGCTCAGGAGATTTTTGTAGCCTAGCATATGTGCTGATTCCTTAAGTTTACGAATTTTCCAATTGTCTTCTTTGTCTATGATCGCAACCTGATCCCACAGAGGGCAGTGATCTCCCTTCTCTCTCCATATGTGGTCAGCCATGCCTGATTTTTTCCACTTCCCCTCGTGTAACAGCTTTCTGGTGTTCTTGAAGCCTTACCTTAAGGAAAATGTTTATGGCCATATAGCATTGGAACACCGGTTCCCATACGATCACCGAAGTTAGGCCTGACGAGAAACATGATGAGTGACCACTTGGGAATACCAGGTGCTGTAAGCTTGGATGTGCAGGTGGTGTAATGGATAATGTTTCGGAATTGTTTATTAGAGAGGCGAGTTCTAATTCCCGTTGGGTTTGTTATGTTTACTTACGCGCAGATATTCCTTCTCGCCAATTATGGGTTAATTAGTGAAACTTGTATATTATTATCTTAAAAAATGCTTACAATCTAAAAATATTTTCTGGCTTTAAATAACCTGCAAAGGGTTGATAAGCCGTAGAAAACAAATCAATCAATAAAATACTGGTTAGCTACACAGGCAAGTCTTTTAGATTTATTTACATTCTCTGGAATATAAATGTATAGAAAATACCGTGACCACAAAGTGAGGGATCAGTTATATACTGATTTTAATATAGAATTGATTTCCCACTTTATATCCACATTATAATTTCTTGTTTGTTTATCAATTTCTGATTAAGTATGAATCTCCCGTCTTTTCTCCCCTAGCTATGGGTTAGTTAACTAAATCCTTATTATCTCAAAAAAATTCTAACAGTCTAAAATTCAGGGGCATCAGACTATATGTGGCAGCAATATTCTAAGCATGGAAGAATGGTAGACAATATGTAAGATAGAAAGGGAAAAATTGTCTAGTAAGACACAATGAACAAACTTTCTTAATAGCTTACGTAGCAATGGATTCAATATAAAGTCTTAGTGGCTTTATTGCCTTACTTAGAATGAAGTGATTAATGAAAAATTGCTATTCCAATACAGCTTCTGATTTGGTATTTCATTTTCCATCCCCTGTTAAAACAATTCCCAGATATTTAAACTTCTTTACTTAATTGGCATTCACAGCTCTAATTCAGAGATCGTATCGTGTGTGTTTTTTCTTTTGCTGGTAAACATACATTCTGTCTTCTTACAGTTGATTTTTAGTCTGTGGAGGTTGTGTTAATTGATTAAATTATATGGATCAAAAATTGTTGAGTGAATTAAGCTGCGTGATGAAATTAAAATTTTAGTATTCAACAAACACAGAATAAGAACAAACATGAGCAACAACAGTTTTTGTACAACAATGAATCAAATATTTATATAACAAAGAAGAACAACTGGAATAAAGAGATAGTTTAAAAAAGATCAAACGGCCTTTTATGTTTAGATTGAAAAGTTATTAAAGTTCGGGTTTGATAGATAATAAGTTGTTGAATGGTCTGTATAATAATGAGAAAATGTGTTTGGGTATTATTGTAATTTTAAAGAAAAAATAACCCTTTTTCGTTTTTCTTTACTGGTACAACTGCCCTGGAAAGTGAGTTTGGGAGAATGGTTTGTATAACATTTTTTTATGTGTTTCTATACGTATTTTAAAATATATTCTTTAAGTACCTATGTGATTACAGTAGCAAAGCAAGTTTTTTCATACATGCTAATATTTTGTATGCAAATACGGTACTTGGGATACAATAAACCTTTTTTTATCAGTATATATATTTGTGATTAAAGTAATGGCAAAGTGATAGAAAAATCAACGCTGGAGGCCCATCTGCGCCTGGCATTAGAGAAACTGCTTTCCTCGTAACCTTACAACACCATTGTGAAATGCTGACCGTCAACGAGAGTCGCGTGATGAGCCGTGACAATTTTCGAGCGGTACTTCATTTCGCAGGAGTGACAATTGTTGAAGGCTGTGCCTGCGAAAATAATCAAGAATGTTATGACAGTCGATATGCTACACCTGTTCTATGGCAAAGTTCCCTGCTGGTAGAAAACATTTGAATGAGTTATCACCCTTGATTTTTTTAGGCTATCCTTTTCTTCTTATACAGTGCATCCATAACGAGGTAAACGAGCTTAGCCGACATTATGCTTCTACGCGTTCGTGTAATGGTTAATAAAGACAAGAGTTATTTTGAAATCATTTGAAACAAACAGATTAAAGAGAAGTATTTACGATTACACACACACACACACACACACACACACACACACACACACACACACACACATATATATATATATATATATATATTAAAGCAATTCATTCCAAGCAAGACGGGAGTGCCACTAGCAAGCAAGGAGTTACAGAGGATTGAGAACAAGAGTAAAGAAATTTGTGGAAAGGATACATAGACGGACAAGCTCAGAGTGTCACGTCTCGATTGACATTACACTTGAGTACTTGAAGATTATAGTCATCGGAGAAGCCAGTAAGGGGAAGGTAGTTCCACAGACGGGAAGTTCGGCAGAAGAAGCTTTTTGAGTAAAAGAGACGGTTACATTTAACCATTTTGACAGTGAAAGGATGGGATAGAGATGCCAGCCTGGTAGCTCGCTTAAATTCATATAGTCCGGGAACCAGCGAAAGTAGCCTGTCGGAACAGTTGCCGTAAAAATACTTGTATGAGAGACAGAGGGAGGCCACGGCACGTCTATAGGATAGCAATTGTAGACTAGATGCCAGATCAGGATCTATCATTTGCATATTTGTCTCTGGATTTTGTCGAGGACCTCGAACATTATAGCGATTGCACCAGACCATATATGACAGCATATATATATATATATATATATATATATATATATATATATATATATATAGTTTATGCAAACTTAGGTAATCCGTATGGGTAGACCCTGAGGAGGATGATATCAGAGAGCTCAATGTAAAATTCAGAGCAGATATGTTTAAATAAAAGACAGACCACGTTAAGATTCCATGTAATAAGTTATTTCACCATAACCCCTTTAACAGGGTTCTGGATCATCAGACTTTACTTCCAAAAGCTGAAATGAAAAATGAAAAGAAATTCACACGTTTTTTGACGGACCTCATCAAGTATACGTAAAATTAACGAAGTGAGGAAGTGAGGTGGGAGAGAGGATATGAGTGTGTCATATGTATCATTTCAATTTCCTATTTTTAACCCCAGTGTGTCGGCTAGATGTTGCTCAAATTTAACGCGTCTCGTCTCTAGATATAGATGGCTAAGGGGTGAATGATAAGAACGACATTAAAGGAAGAAGTTACAACAACCCCAATCAATTACACGACAGGTTTCATTCAAATTTTTAGACGCTGTTAATTCGCGTTACTTTAACGTGCATATTTGGGAGGATAAGGTTTGATAAATACGTATACTTGATGAGATCCGTCAAAAACGTGTGAATTTCTTTTCATTTTTCATTTCAGCTTTTGGAAGTAAAGTCTGATGATCCAGAACCCTGTTAAAAGGGGTTATGGTGAAAGAGCTTATTACATGGAATCTTAACATGGTCTGTTTTTTATTCAAAAAAAAATATATATAGGCAGCATATCTTCATTCAACCGTGCTTGCTTGAATAATCTAGACATGTTATGTATATTTATTGCTATTTTAATCCTCTCAAATTCACGGATAGATTTCTTAATGTTGTTATTAGACACATTAAGGAAGGTGCTGTAGTTTTCGTCATTTCTTCTATTTTCCCAAGTACTTTCAATATCATCCGGGATCATTTGAAATAATTGAAGTAAATTGCTAAGACATAACGTTAATCTAATTGATAATTGTGATTTTTTTGTAAATGCGCATGAAACGCGCTCCATTATAATTATGCACACATATGAACGTGCTCCGTTATAGTCATTTTAAAAGTAGCAGTTAAGAATAATATGCATGTAAGGGAGGTAACTTAATTATTATTAATGTTTTAAAATACTCAAATACCCAACCTGCAACAAACCCCCCACCTATATATATATATTATCAGTTTAAACGTTATTTTTAGTGGATACTTGTATCTGAGTAGATGCTCCGTTTATTAATTAAAAAGTATATTTATTTATTTTTATTGACCGTCCTAAATATTCGAGAAATCTTATTAAAGAAAAAAATTATCCGTTTTCTGACAGGATTTGAACCTGCGTTCTGAGAAAACTACCATCCACTCTGCTACATTCTGACCAACAGAGCTACAAAGAACCAATCCGCCAAACCGCGCCAAAATTTCACCTTGAAGACAAACTTCTCTTGTCCTAGATATCCCGATTTTTTTAAAAATCTGCACAAGTTCGTATCCAAACGGAAACAAAGAGAATTTTCTAATGAATGTAATGGACTTTTTATTAATCCGACAGAATGTTTTTAATTGATACTTACATTTGAGTAGATGTTCCATTTATTTATCAAACAATATATTTATTTATTTATTGTCGTCTGCCGGCCTGAATATTCGAGAAAACTTATTTCTGACAGGAATATCTATGTAAATAGGGATATCTACTAAAAATAACATTTAAAGTGATAAAAAAAACAAACATGTCAAATGACGAAACGCGCCGGTAAGTGTTAAGTACCATTTTCCGATTGTCTATTTTATTCAATTTGTCTTCACAACAGACGTATTTTAAGAACTTTAACATATTGTCAACATGGAAAACAAAAACACACACGTAGTCAAAAAAAAAAAAAATAACAAAAGTTACTAATTTCCCAAACGAGGCTTATACAGGAGCATCTGTTAGAATGTTTGAATTTCATGTCACTACACAACATTTCGCTTTTGTTTGTCATCACGTGCCTTGATAAAGTCGAATGACGAAACGAGTCGGCAAGGACTAAGTAGTATTTTCCGTTTGTCTATTTTATTCAATTTGTCTTCTCTACAGATTAATTCCGATAAATTTAACACACACACACACACACACACACACACACACACACACACACACACACACACACACATATATATATATACTAGCTTTAAAGCCGCCCTATCGGACGTCATTTAAGCTAGCTCCTGCAGAGGGCACTTGATTGGCCCTTCATCGCAATAGGTAGGGCAGAGTAAATGCAATAGGCAGCAATAAAATACAGAACTCAATATAGAGAACTGCATTTAAGTATTGCATTATTATTTTAGCTTACCGTTTAAAAGTTCAAAGATAATTTTTCTTCCGCCACTTCAAGATATTTTGATGTACGTAGGTCCTTACTTTCCGTACAAACAATTATTTTTTATTTCAAGGGTTACTTTCGCTGGATTTCGCAATGAATTATTCCTTA